GCAGAGGGGCCAGGGCTTCTGCCAGCCAAGGGAAGGGCCCAGGGCCCTGCGCTGGGGAGTGTGGCACCGTCCATCCACCTGGTGGACTGGGCAGTGTTCCTCCCTGAGGCCCTTCCCTTAGGGGCCTCCCTTCACCTTGGGCACAGCCACAAGTCTCATCTCTAACGTTCTATGCAATGAAATATAAACCCTCAAAGACAACTGTTAATATTTATTAAATTCCGTGTTATGTATAAGGAGTTAATTGCAAACCTGCAATTGAGAAACTGGATAGATATGCTCATATCAAACCCCTCGCTCCCTTCCCCCTCCCCTGCTCCCACTGTGTGTGTGAAATTCTCAGTCTGTGGCATGTTCGACCTGTGGCAGGACTCGCTGCTGCCAGGCGAGTCACCGCCTGTCCCGCAGTGGAGCATGCACAGCTCGCAGCTTCTTTGCACGATTTCATCCATTTTCAATGCTCGACCCTCTTGCTTGGAGTTCTTTTTGTCTCAGAACCTCTCCTTCAGGAGTGCTTCTAGCTAACTTCTGCACGAGCTAGTGAGGACCCGCCGGAATTGCTGCCTGAGCATGCCAGGCTGTGGGCCCGGCAGTACAAGGCCCCACACCCTCTGCAGGTTTCTCTGACCAAGATGTCTCTGAGGAGACACGTGGTGGGAGCCCGCACAGGATGTGTGCGTGTGAACATTCGGAAGGTTTGCTGTAGGATTTCCATCTGTAAGTCACTCCCCCACTTATCCCAGCCCTGAGCCAGAGACCTCTGGTCGCCCCTTCCCAGCAGGGCACTGCTCAAGAGCAGAGCTGGGCTGCGTCTGTAGCCAGAGAGACAGAGGCCAAGGGTAGGGCCCAGCTCCTGACTGTACTTCTCCTTTGTGGCTGGGAGGCTCAAAGGTCTGTGAGCCAGGAGATCTGGCCAGGGGGCCAGAGAATGCTCAGGAAGAGCTGGAGTTTTGGCATTTGTGGTGAGGACAGCTGACAGTGTCATCTTTGATCAGAGTGCATATTCACATAGACAGTGGCTTCAAGCTGAGTTTCTTGGGAAGCTTCTCAATAACAAACTTACAGAAGGTTCTGTTGTGACACTCTCTGCATCTGTCTCCAGGACCTAAACTCCCTGCCAGCCCCTATCTCTGAAGCCTAAGTATCCCACTGCTCATCAGCTTCTCTAAGACTGAGCCAAGAGTGTGGCAGGTGGTAGCTGCCTGACCCCTCCAGGCCTGGCCTTCCTCCAGAGTGCTCTGGTTTGCACCATGCATTTCTCAGGGGTCCACATTTCTCATTCTTTCCTATAAGGTCCACAAACCCCTTCAGAGAGGGATCCTGGCCCACCTCTGGCAGCTGTGGATGAGATAGGAGGCTGTCAACCCTTGTGTTGGGCCTAAGACCCTGCTCTTCTGGATTTGGGCTTCACCCATCCAACGGGACACCTGCCTCATCCCAGAGATCAGGCCTGGGCTGTATGAGGCCATCTGTGCAAGGGCTGAAGGAGGCCACCATCTGGCACCTCTGACCACCCAGGGCCAGGTCTTTGTGGGGATGTGCCTAGTGGCTGGATACATGAGGGACTAATGCAGCAATCCTCCCGATAAAAGGCCAAGGGATGGGACCAGGAGCAGGGAACAGGCAGGGAGATGACAGCAGGTCAGCCTCCATCAAAGCTAGTTTCACGCTCTCCAATGTTGACTCTTCAGCAAATCTCCTTTCTGGCCAAGCTTTCTGAGTTTGAAATTTCTGACATCTGCCACTCCCTAACCCCCAGTGTATCCACAGGACACATCTGTGCCTATCACCCCTTGTGAAGGTGGCTGGAGCAGGCCTCTGGGCCACAGGTGTCCTGGCCCTTGTGTGGATACAGCTGTGGCTCTGGGGGCCAGAGGCTGAGGGACCAGCATTCGATGCCTTGGGCAGTGGGGAGCACCAAGCACATTTCCACATGGGCAAGGGGTTCTCTGGGATGCAATCCAGGCCTTCTCTACACCCTCCCCCGACCCAGTGTCATGAACAAGGGCACTGCCGCCTCTGTCTACTTCAGGGCCTAATGCATTCACAGTGACACCCCGCTTCCCCACCATCCACTTAGTCCTTGGGAAGAGAGGGTGGTCTCAGGGCCCATGATGACTGGGCAGCAGTGGCAGCAACCATGGCCTGTCTTCTGGAGCCTGTGGGGAGTTTTCCAGGCAGATGCTTTACCATGACAACAAGGTCCTGGCCTGTTGGCCCCTCCCTTGCCCTCGTGCCCCCTCCCCCCATTCTGTAAATACTTGTCATTGTGGACTCGACAGGGTCAGAGGGACAGGCCTGACCAACTGAAACTCCTCAGAGATATCATTTCTGTCTCCCTGGGTACCAGCAGCCCTGCTGCCATGTGCACTGGGGTGGCACTGGAGAGCCATGGAAGTCATGAGATATTGTGTGTGTATGCATGTGAACAAGTGTGTGAGTGTGTATGTGTGTGTGTGTCTGCTTCATTTGGCCTCTGGGATCAAATCAGCTCCTTCTCTCTAAGTGCAGTGCCCTGGAGAGTGGTGGCCGCCCAATGCCTTTCCTCTGCTAGCTTCCATGTCTTGTTTTTGCTTCCCCCTCACTCTTTCCCTGCCTCCCTTCTTTCCTCTCTCCCTTTCTTTCCTTCTCTCCTTCTTTATTTGAGGGGGGAAGAGTGCTGTACAAAGTCAAACAAACAAGTTTACAGTTGTAAGTGCAATGAATGACCCGAGTCCTCCACATGACCTTGTGAATCGTGTGCCGTCCTCCTGTGCTCTGTGAGAACTCGTGGTACTTCAGTGTCCCTCCCCCTGTATTGTAACAAGGTAATTCTGTGGTATCAGAATAAAAGGACTTGATATAAACAACCTACAGACTGTCTCTGGGATGGTTTCTGAAACGGGAAGGCGTAGGCAGAAGAACAAATCCCCAAACTGTGACAGTCCTGTCTTTTCACAGTTAAAGGGAAAAGAGTGAAAAGGCAAAGTTGCAGAAGTACTGGCAAGGCCAGGGCTGAGTTCATACCAATCTGTCCAAAGACAGTGGGCCTCTCCACAAAGGCGCCCCAAGGCAGGTTTAATGCTTGGACCTGGAGGGAGCAGTTAGCTCACTGGGCAGACTGCTGAGGGACTGTGCCTCCACAGCCTTTGAGTGTCGGGGCTGCACAAACAGCTTTCTAGGGCCTGGTTCCCTGGGGAAGCAGGTGAGCAGGTGCTGCCCCCTGGTGTTACCAACAAGCCCTACACCTGTCTGCCTTGCTGTGTCCACTCCAACCCCCAAACTCTTGGGGGCTGCTAGATCTTAGTCCTTCCCCAGGATGGGAGAGCCTCCTTATCAAAGTAACCCAGAGTTGCTAGAAATTTTTTAAAACACAGATAAATGAAACGAGTATCAGCCTCACCTCTGGCCTTCCCTAAAGTTAGTATCTTGATGCATGTCTTTCCTTCCTGTTTGTGTTTTCCTTTTTCATTTTAAACAGAAGCCAGAAGGCACAGTACTTACTGTTTTCTAGCCTCCTGTTTACTTCTACACATTCATTCCAAGTATTTAGATGTTCATCCTCCAGTGCCCGGCCTCCAGAGAGCTGCACCATGAGTTTACAGCCAGTCTACTGCACATGCCCTCAAGGACAGGCACCATGTTCCCAGTTTTCCTGTTATAAACAATGCTGTAATGAACATCCTAGTTTCCAACTTTCCACCCAGATTGGTGGCTGGGGCCACTCTTTCTGCTCCCAGTTCTGGCCTTAACAGTCCTGCACACACTGGATGCTCACAAGTTAAGTGGCCTCAGAAAGTGGAAACTGTTTTTAGTTAACTAATCCAATGGAAGGAGAAGCTGCAGGCCAGTCAAGTGGGATCTCAGTCAAAGGCAAGGCAGGGCGCAGGGAGCCAGGGCCCTGAGGTGTGGAAGACCAGCCAGGCTCAGGGTATATGGAGGAGGGGACATCCGTTGCTGCTGGCCTGACTGCTGCCCAGCCTCTCCTGCCCTCTTTTGCCATTGTAACCTGCCCAGTCCAGTGCCACTGTCCTGAGGGAGCCTGCCTGCCCAGGTTTTTCTTTCCACAGGAAGCTCTCTGGTTCTGGGTGGAGCCTGACCCCCCAGGCCCTCCACACCCAAGAACTTGGGCTGAGGCCTGGGAAGGCAGACAGAGGCCCACACACTCATGATCCCCAGCAAGGTGCCACTGAGCGGGGCGGGTGAGGGCTGCAGGGGCAGATAGCTTCTGGGGTAGGCCTGGTGGCCGATAAGACCAGGCGACACCCTGTTACCTTTGCACCCGCCCTTTGCCCCACGCCCTGGAGCTCCAAGGCTCGAGCTCTGCGCCCCCTGCCAGGAACGCACCTCTGCCCTTCTTTTCTCGTCGGCCTGAGAGCCCCTCCAGAGCAGGGCCTGGCACCGTCTGGTGAATGCTTGCCTCGTAATGGACCAGAAGGACCCGACAGTTAGCCTCCGGGCTGCGGAAGACCCCAGCTGGGGCTGACTTCGGCTTGCACCCTGCCTCTCACGCCCCCGCCCCTCATCTCTCTTTTCCTCGACTTTACCCTCGCAGGGCTCAGCCCCGCCCTCTCACCCCACCCCCGCGTCTTCGGAGTCCTCGGTCCGCAGCCTCTCAGGACCTGCCCCCGGATGCTTAGGGCCCACCCCCGTCCGACCTCATCTGCCCTCCTCCCGTGGGCCCTGACGTTCTTCACACACCTCGCCCCTCCCTACAGACCTGCTCCTTTATTCCGTTTCGACAGCGCCGCCCCTTCTCCTCGGAAACCCCATTCCCTCCCCTCCCAGTAATAGGCCGGGCCTTGGCCCACAGAGCTCGCCTCTCTCCAGCCTAGCCCACCCCGAAAGGCCTGCTCCTTTTCCCGAGGTCCCTGCTCTTCCCCTCCAGGACTCCTGGGGCCGCAGCTCCAACTTGTTCCTCGCAGGCCCCACCTCCTTACCATCGAGGCCCCGCCCCTCGTCTAATCGTCCTCGCTCATTCGTCGAAAGTCCCGCCCCTCTCACTGTGCGGCAAGGCCGCGGCGGAGACTGGCCGGGCCTCTCACTTCCGGGCGCCTGAACGCCCCGCCTCACCCCGGCGGCCCAGAGCCACCATGGAGCGGCAGGTGAGGGAGCGGCCCGCGGTTCCCGTGCTCTTTGCAGCCCGGGCCGGGCCTGACCCTGCTGTGTCCCCTGCGCAGGTGCTGCTGAACGAGCCCGAAGAGGCGGCGGCGCTGTACCGGGACCTTAGCCGCCATCCCGCGCTGAGCGCCGCCTGCCTGGGCCCGGAGGTCACCACGCAGTACGGGGGTTGTTACCGGACGGTGCACACTGGTGTGTGTATGGAGGGGAGTCGGTGGAGAGGAGGGGGGCGTGGAGGGCTAGCTGCCTGACAGTGCACACGGGTGTGTGGAGAAGGCCGGGCTTGGAGAGTGTGGGTGTGGAACAGTGCATCCGTAAGAGGTTTGTGCACACAGGTGTATGGGGGGGGCGGCCTATTTGGGGTATTATAGGATGGTGCCCATGAGTGCAGAGTGTGGGCCTTGTAAGGGTCACCCCCGTCATCGTATCCCACACCTGCTCTCAAGATTCTAGGGTGGATGCTAGGAGCAGTAATCGTTTCTCTCCAAGACGTTGTCAGCCTAGGCTCTGGAGGCCTAGACTTGAGAGTTGTGGCCAAGTGTTGCCCATCCTGCCCCCCAGAATATCTGGAGATAGACTGAGAGAGGTGGGGTAGGGGAGGGGGTATCCTGTGCTGGGACTGGTCAAGTTGAGCAGCCTCATGCCTCTCCTCGCAGAGTGGACCCAGAGGGACCTGGAACGCATGGAGAACATCCGATTCTGCCGCCAGTACCTGGTGTTCCATGATGCGGACTCAGTGGTGTTTGCAGGGCCTGCGGGCAACAGTGTGGAGACCCGGGGCGAGTAAGTTTGAGGGAGGAAGCTTGTAGGCAAGGCCGTGGCCATCTGCAAGCCTTTTATGAAGGCCCACCCTGTGCCTTGGTGTGGGTAGGGCCCAGAAGGGAAGCCAGGAGCCAGACCCCTGACCCTTGGGAGCTCAGGTAGTAGTGACATGGTCACAAGCATTGGAGGCTTGCTCCAAACTTGGGCTGGGACTAGAGTCCCTGCCCCAGGGAAGGGAGGCAAGGCAGCTGCTGCGGTAGGGCTAGAAGGGCTGCAGGGGCGGTTGTGGGCCAGAGCCTCAAGAATCTTGTCTAAGAGGTTGTGGCCAATAAGGGGACAGGATGGGCTATCACTGGGTGGGAGGTAATACTGACCTGCTCCCCTACATCCTCCTCAGGCTGCTGAGCAGAGAATCTCCTTCAGGCACCATGAAAGCTGTGCTGCGCAAGGCTGGAGGGCCGGGCGCTGGGGAGGAGAAGCAGTTTTTGGAGGTAAGTCTGCATAGGACCACGTGGTGGGTAACTGGGGGCTCAGTCCCACGGATAAGGCTCTGTTGGAAGATAGGCAACCTGACTCCCAGATGTCCTTAGGTTTGGGAGAAGAACCGGAAGCTCAAGAGCTTCAACCTGTCAGCGCTGGAGAAACATGGGCTGGTTTATGAGGATGGTGAGGCATCTGGCTGGTGAGCAGGCAGGGCGGACAGGAGGGGCAGCCATAGCCCAGGGCTCCCCCTGATCGGCCTTCCTTGCACCCAGACTGCTTTGGCTGCCTGTCCTGGTCGCACTCGGAGACGCACTTATTATACGTGGCAGAGAAGAAGCGCCCCAAGGCTGAGTCCTTCTTTCAGACCAAAGCCTTGGACGTCAGTGGCAGCGATGACGAGGTGGCCAGGCTGAAGAAGCCAGACCAGGCCATTAAGGTGCTCATGGCCATGGCCAGTCCATGAAGGCCCCTCAGGGCAGTGCTGGGGTCCACCATGCTCTCTGCCCACACTGTGCCTATCAGAACCAGGGAGGTACTGGCTTCTAGGGGGCAGGGCCATCTCCTGCAAGACAGGCTGGGCATTGAGTGTCTTGTGTTCTCAGGGGGATCAATTTTTATTTTACGAAGATTGGGGAGAAAACTTGGTTTCCAAAAGCACTCCTGTACTCTGTGTGCTGGATGTCGAGAGTGGCAACATCTCTGTGCTTGAGGGGGTCCCTGAGAGTGTGTCCCCTGGACAGGTTAGTGCTGACTTGGCCTACATGACTCCGAAAGTCTGGGGCCCCTGCCTGAGCTACTGACCCTTGTTCACACCTGCCCTGTGGTCTTGTTTACAGGCATTCTGGGCCCCTGGAGACACAGGTGTTGTGTTTGTGGGCTGGTGGCATGAGCCCTTCCGGCTGGGCATCCGCTTCTGCACCAATCGAAGGTGAGGACAGTCGAAGGGGCAGGGCAGGGGGCCTTGCAGCTCAGACTGGCCTTGAAGCTGAGTGTCTCTCTGGTGGTTCCAGGTCAGCCCTGTACTATGTAGACCTCATCGGGGGGAAGTGTGGTAAGTGCTGGCACCTACCTGTGCTTCACAGACACACACTGGCCCTGGCAGCCTGCATGATGCTCACATTTCTGTCTGGTCCAGAGCTCCTCTCGGATGACTCTCTGGCTGTCTCTTCTCCCCGGCTGAGCCCAGACCAATGTCGCATCGTCTACCTGAGGTTCCCATCTCTGGTCCCGCATCAGCAGTGTGGCCAGTTGTGCCTGGTGAGCTGGGGTGGGGGTGGGGGGAGGTCAGCAAGAGGAGGGGATGGCAGATGAGAGCTGGAGGGTCAGCTTCATCTCCCCACGGCCTCCTCAGTGGACCTCCTGTCTTGGGTACAGTGATGGTGTGAGTTCTGCCTTTCCTTCTCTCCAGGCAAGGCCTGGAGGCTGTCATGGGGGCTCTGCACAATCAAAACTCACCACCTTGAGAGCATCCTCTGTCTATGAGAATGCTCCTCCTTTTGCTTCTTATCTGCACGTGGCCAGGCTCTGCAAGGGGCTGGGATATAATGGGCAGTTACAGAGCCTCAGTCCTTGTAAAAGGGCCCCTAGTGAAAGTCAAAGGCCCCTCCAGACATCTGCTCCAGGTCACCAGAAAGGAGATACATCAGGCCTCTCTCAGGTCCTCCCCTCCCTGCCCTGAGGGCACTGCCAGTCCCCTGGTGAGCCTGACCATTGTGTTCTGTTGCAGTATGACTGGTATACCAGGGTCACCTCCGTGGTGGTGGACATTGTGCCTCGGCAGCTGGGAGGTAAGGGGTGTCGGCTGGGTGGGTGCCAAGGAGCATGCAGTTCTGTTTTCCTGCCATCTGTTATCCCTGCTCAGGGCCAGCCTCCTCAGCTCTTCCTGCCTGGGTTCCTTCTGAAGTCTCCCCGCTGCTGGGCCAGCCCCAGGTTCAGCCTCTGCAGGGGGTGGGGCCATTACTATAGGGAATGGTTCTCACAGAAGGTCAGCTGGACCAAAGCTGAGATCCGAGTGGCCCAAGCTGGCTGAGGCTTGAGATTATTTCATTTGTGCCACAGCCCATAGATTTATCTTGTTTTTCCAGTGGCTGCTTAAAGCCACTGCTCCTTCAAGGGGTCTCAGAAAGTACACTAGATTGGCAGGTCCTGCCCCAAGGGTGCTCATTCTCCCACTCCCAGCCCCCACCCCAACGTTTGTCCAGTCCAAGCCCTTGAGGCAGCAGGGTCTCTGGGAGGGTGGCTCTTGGCTGACAAGCTCCAGTCACAGTCTCGGGTGCTCACAACTCTGCTTGGGATCCCAGACTATCCCAAGGACGTGAGGGGTGAGTCTCTTGTTTCCTTAGGCCACCTGGTCAGTTCCAGGAGTCAAGGACAAGAGATGGCCTCCTTTTCCTGTCTTTGGGTTACAGGGATGCAGCAGTGGGGACCTGGTCTGAATCCTAGCTCTGCCCCTTATTAGTTGTGTGTTCTTGGACAGTATCCTGACCCCCTGAGCTTCCATTTATTTATGTGAGGAGAGGGTGGTTGTTCCTGCCTTCTTTGTAGGATTGTAGTGAGGGGTAAATGAGTGATGATGTTAGAGGGTAGGATTTATTCAGGCCCAGTGCCAGGTACTCTGCTAAATACGGTTAGAGACAGACAGGTGTCTTGGTTACAGCATCCGCTGCCTCCCAGCGGCCCTTAAGAGCAGCTCAGAGGAATGCCAGTGCACTCAGTTTCTCTCAGAAGCTCTTCAGCTCCGCCTCTCTTGGGCCCTAAGAGGCCTCTGCTCCTCAGCCCCCTCTTCAGGCAGCTCCTCATTGCCTAGGGTACCCCCATGTATGTGGCTGTTGTTCTGTCACAGTTCTGGGGCCCCAGGTGAATTCCCCAGCGACCCGGCCTGCCTCATAGTCTGGACACACACACACGCACGCACATACACACACACACACACTCATAGTCTGGACACACACACGCACGCGCACACACACACACACACCCGTAGTCTGGACACACACACACCCCTCCACTCTTGGACGTGGCCCCCAGCTCTCTGCCTTTGCAGAGAACTTCTCTGGGATCTACTGCAGCCTTCTGCCTCCGGGATGCTGGTCGGCTGACAGCCAAAGAGTGGTTTTCGACTCAGCTCAGCGCAGCCGGCAGGTGAGGAGCCCTGACTGTGTTGAGAGGCAGCCCTCAACCAACCCCCAGGAGCTGTGGGCCTGGGACATAGCGCACACACACTGCCAGGTGGACCGCCCAGCTCACAGGTCTCCCTGGCCCCTTAAGGCCCTGCCTGCCCCTGTCCTGGACTCATTTTTCCTTGAGGGGGCTGGCTGCCCTGGTACCCCACAACAGAGCCCTTGGCCCTTTCTCCTGAGGCAGAGATGCAAAGCCCCCACCCTCAGCATTTCCATGTGGTGGGCAAGGGGGCTGCCACTGGGGCGGGCCCCTGAATACCATACGGGGAGCTGATGGAGATGGGACAGCAGCTTTCTCCCAGGGACTGTGTGGGGACACCACAGTGTGCCAGACTCCTTTGGGGTTAGATATCGTTTGGTCCTCAGGGTAGCTCTAAGGGCCTCAAAGGCATTCCTTATCTTGCCCAGGGTCACTTAGCAAGTTGTGATGGAACTGGGATTTGAACCCAGGCCCTCAGGCCACTCCCTACTGCACTGAGTAGCTATCACCATAGTCACTCACAGCTCTGGCCTTGGCCCAAGGGTCCCCAAGAGGGTAGAGAGGAGGTGGGGGCAGGACCCATAGGGCTCTTGGATGTGGTACCACACATGGCCTCCTCTCTGCTTCAGGACCTGTTTGCTGTGGACACCCAGATGGGCAGTGTGACCTCTCTGACGGCTGGTGAGCAGGGCTGGCGAGTGGGCCAGCCAGGCTAGGGGAGGGACTGGAGCTCAAGCATGTGGGGCAGCACTCTCGGCCACTCTGCACCACTGACTGTCCCACAGCCTTTACTGACAGTCTTGCGAGGACCCTGCCTATGCAGGACCCTTACCCAGCCAGCAGACTGCCTCCTGGCTCTGCTCTGCTCCCTGTGTCCTGGCATTGCCTCAGCACGGCCCCCACACTACTTCTCAAACCCACAAAATTCTCTCTTGCCAAGATCTGCCAGAGTCTTCCTTCCCTCTCCCCAAACCTCAGGCAGAGGCACCTCTGCCAACCCAGGGCGCAGAAGCCCTGGGTTGGCTCCCTCATCTTCCTCTTACCCAGGCCTGATGATTCTGCACCTAAAGTGTTTTTGAGTCCTCCACCTGCCCTGGCTGTACTCACTCCTCCACAAAGCTACCAAAGGATTGTTCCCAAACTGCATCTCATTGTATAGTATCTGCTTAGGAATCTGAATCTCCTTGGACCCCACTGCCTAGAATTAGCACCTCCCCCCCAGCCTCCTGGGCCTAGCTGCCACCCCTGCAGACGGCAGTCATCAGGTGGTGGGTGGTTGTGCCATGTGGTCTGGTGTGTCCCCAGATCTGGCAGTCCCAGGGGACAACCATCACCTGCTGGATGAATGGACTGAGAAGGCGGCTCACCCAGAGCTGTGTGTGGTTGTCTGTGACAGTCCCTCTGTGGGCATCCCTTTGCTTCCCAGGGAATAAGGGGCACCTCACTATAAAGCCTCCAGCCTGGGACTCTGGCTCTGCAGGGACTGGGTGGGAATAGTGGTGGCATCTGCCTTGTCCAGGGGGGTCAGGTGGAAGCTGGAAGCTGCTCACAATTGACCGGGACCTCATGGTGGCACAGTTCTCCACGCCCAGCCTACCCCCATGCCTGGTGAGTGTTGGTGGGCCCCAGGCCAGGAGGCAGGGATTCGGTGCAGGCAGAGTTCCCCAGGTCAGGGAACTGGCCCGAGTCTGACTGTGGCTGGTCAGCATGTGAGAGGCCAAGGTGTGGACCCAGCCCAGTATAGTCCACGAGGGTCTGGCACTATGGGGAGAAACTACTGGGTTAAGGTTTGCTCTGTTCAGAACAGGGTGCCTGGGAAAGTGCTCAGTCCCCTAGCATAACAGCCTAGAAGCTGAGGAGGGAGGGGTACATATGTGTGGTTGTGTGAGTACCTGTGTATATACCAGCTCATGACAGGAGTCCGTGCTGGGCTCTCTGGAGGTGGGCAGATGGCCCAGTATAATGAGAGCTGCCCACTCTCACACTGGTGGAAAGGCAGGGAGGCAGCCAGGCCACCTGTGACACACTCTTTCCCTTTGGCAGAAAGTTGGGTTCCTGCCTCCTGAGGGGAAGGAGCAGGCGGTATCATGGGTGTCCCTGGAGGAGGCCGAGCCCATTCCTGAAATCTCCTGGAGCATCCGGGTACTACAGCCACCCCCAGAGCAAGAGCATGTGCAGTATGGTGAGCTGGGCAGGGGCAGAGGGGCACCTTCTCCAAGTTCCCCAGCACATAGTGTCTGTGGTCACCGTTCCCGTCTCCTGTCTCACATTTTGGGATTTTTTGAGATTACCTCTAAGAGGTTTTTTTTTCCTCTTGTGGATGGTCATGGGGAGTAGTGTCCAGGCATCTGAGCACCTACTCTGGGTATCAGAGCTGGGCATCACCAGGCCAGATCGTCTGCAGTGGGATAACGGAGCCCAAAGAAGACAGGCCTATGTAAGGCCTCTGTGACCACACCTCCTCCAGAATATTGTCCCTGCAGAGACTGGGACTCCCTGACTAGGGCAGAAGGAGCATGAGCGTCCTGGGGTCCATGTGTCACAGTGTGGGCTACCTTGGCCAAGTCTCTTGTTTCAGAGGTCAGCTGCAGACCTGCAGCTACAGCTGAGGCCTTGGCTGGGGAAGCCCCTAGGCAGTAGAACTGGCTCTGCTGATTGCTGCTTTTCCCCTGCAGCTGGCCTTGACTTTGAAGCAATCCTTCTGCAGCCCAGCGACCCTCCAGATAAGACCCAGGTGCCCATGGTGGTCATGCCCCACGGTAGGCAACTGGCCTAAGAGTCCCTGCCCTTCCACAATCCCTCCTAGCTGGCTCTTTCACCTTCTCTCTGTTCCCTATCTGCAGGGGGACCCCATTCATCCTTTGTCACTGCCTGGATGCTGCTCCCAGCCATGCTTTGCAAGATGGGCTTTGCAGTACTACTAGGTGAGGGAGCAGGGTGCTGCAGCTCTGGTAGAGCTGTGAGGTGGTGGTGATGGTGTGGGCCTGGTCTGTACAAGCACTGCGGGTACCACCCTAGTCTCCAGGCCTCTGCAGCCTGGACCTGGTAATCACTCTCAGAAACTGCCCTGGCCAGCCTCTGGCTCCATGGCGTGGTGATAACATGAAGTAACTTGCAACTGCCATGGAAAGGGGGTGTGGTCACTGGGCAGTCTCAAATCTCTTGGCCCCTTCCCCTTGAGTCTGGTGCAGCTAGCCTCAAGGCCTACTTCACATATAGGTGAAAGGGCGCTGGGAAGGTCACTTGACCACCCTGTCTGGTCCCTCCCTGGCCTCCAGTGAACTATCGTGGCTCCACGGGCTTTGGCCAGGACAGCATCCTCTCCCTCCCCGGCAATGTGGGCCACCAGGATGTGAAGGACGTCCAGGTAGCAGGGGCTGGGGCTTCTGGACGGGCTGGGGGTGTGGCTCCATTCAGCTGGGCAGGCAGCTGGCTGCAGCATGATCTGCCCACCCTGTAGTTTGCAGTAGAGCAGGTGCTCCAGGAGGAACACTTTGATGCAGGCCGTGTGGCCCTTATGGGTGGTTCCCATGGTGGCTTCCTGTCCTGCCACCTGATTGGTCAGTACCCGGAGACCTACGGTGCCTGCGTGGTGCGGAACCCTGTGATCAACATTGCCTCCATGATGGGCTCCACTGACATCCCTGACTGGTGGGTGTGCCCAGAGGTCCCCGCCCTTCTCCCCCCTCACTACGTACCCTCATGGAGCTCCGGCAGGCCCCAGAGCTCCTGGGCCTGCATCATCTCAGTGTCTTGTAGGTGCGTGGTGGAGGCTGGCTTCCCCTACAGCAGCAACTGCCTGCCAGACCTCAACATGTGGGCTGAGATGCTGCACAAGTCGCCCATCAAGTATACCCCTCAGGTACGCAGCCCTCCCCCTGCCCAGTGCACCACCAATCTGTCCAGGGCCCCGGGCCCTGCTCACCTCCACTCCGCACATACCTAGGTGAGGACACCAGTGTTACTGATGCTGGGCCAGGAGGACCGGCGTGTGCCCTTCAAGCAGGGCATGGAGTATTACCGTGCCCTCAAGGCCCGAAACGTGCCCGTTCGGTGAGTACAGCAAGACAGCCCTGGCAGCTGGTGGGCAGGTGAGCAGGGAAGGATCCTCAATCCTCAAACATTGCTGCCCAACCCTTACAGGCTCCTGCTCTATCCCAAAAGCACCCATGCACTATCAGAGGTGGAGGTGGAATCAGACAGCTTCATGAATGCTGCGCTCTGGCTGTGCACGCACTTGGGCAACTGAAGCCCTACCACTCTGTATGAGCTGGGTGACATATGCCACACTTGGCTCTTGGAGAGCCCCAGGGTCTGGCAGAGCGGCAAGAGGCTTCCTGGGCTCTGGACTTCATGGATGGGTGAGCCGAGGAATGTGGGCTGTATACTCATAATAAATGAGGACACAGAGTCTAGTTCCTGCTGGTACTTTGTACCAAGCCACCTCTAACCCCAGCCCCACCCTTGGGGTTCAGAGACCGTAGGCCCTGGGTATGGTAGCCATAAGGAGGGCAACTACTTCCAGCGTGAGAGGGGAGGGGACAGCGAGAGGCTCAGCTGCTGCCTGTCCTGGCCAAGTAGGACTCCACCAGGCTAGCTCCCTCTACTGCAGCCCCTTCTGTTAGAAACTGCCCTACACCACCCTTCTCCTCCCAACAGTTTATTTAGGGGACTAGTGAGGCCCTGCCCTTCACAGCACCCACAGGCTAAGGTAGTGCTAGGGTCAGATTGCCCAGCCCAAGTTGTGTTGGACTCTGCCACTCAGGCCCTAATGAGGAGTTGCCAATTCATTCCCTAGAAGCAAAGGCTAAGAAGCACCCTGCACAGGCATAAAGAGGAAAGGTGGCTTTATGTCTGACAGAAAGCTTCGTCCTCCCCAAGGCCCACAGGATTGAGGCTGGGACTAGCCCAGCCTCATGACCTTGTGAATCCAGTCCACAAACACAGAGACACGCATGAAGATGGATGGCCAGCGGGGCCGTGCGCACACTCGGTTGGGGATTATAATTCCCTCCAGGACCCAGCAGTCGTGAGTAAAGCAGGCAAGTGGGCCCCCGTAGTCACCCTGGTAGGTGCAAGAACTAGTGAGGGCATGGACCATGGTAGAGACTAGCCCCCTTGGGGGTGAAGCAGTACATTTTCAGCCTGCCAGGGGCCCTGCCACTGACCTCACAGGCTCCAGCAGGGGCCAACAGTCCTTCAGTGCACATCTCACTCTCGCGTACACGACCTCGGTGCTTGATGTTACATTCCTGGTTGGAGATGACATTGAGGGAGGCTATGTTCAGGACCGTGTTGTCCCCTGTACCTACAGTGAAGAGAATGGGAAGAAGGATAGGGTCTGTGGGTAGTACACAAGGCTGGGCCTCTTGGCCTGGAGCAGTCCATGCCTCTGCAGTGTACTCTTACCTTTGGTCTCGCCCCAGCCTGCGATCTCACACTTGGTGCCTGGAGGCACCACATACCACTCAGGGGGCAGGCAGATCAGGGCCACACGCTGGTTCAGGGTCGCAGGTCTTCAGCAAGAATGACGGCATTCAGGGTCTGAGGCCACAAGGCCCAGCCCCACCTCACACCCTCTTGACTTGTCACACACCTCTCCAGCTTGAGCAGAACAAGCTGAGAGCCAGAGGGCCCGCAGACCATCTTGGCCATTGAGATGCGCTGCAGGCCTGGCTGCCCGGGCTGTGGGTCCTGGAACAGGGTGCCTAGCCACACCTCATAGCCAGTGAGAGGCCCATGGCTGAGAGAGAAGCTCTGCTACATCAGTCGAGACTCATAGTCTGCTGCCCAACACTCACCCATTGGCTTGCCTAGGGAAGGTGGCTAAGGGGGAGAGGAAGGCGTGGGGTTGGGAGTCCCCAAACCCAAGGAAGGCTCACCAAGAGGAGAAGCACTGCCGTGCAGTCAGAACCCACTGCTCCTTCACTAGGGAGCCTCCGCAGAAGTGCTGGCCCTGCCTGGAGGAGTGCAGGTTAGGAAACGGTCCTGAGACACAGAGATACAGGCTGGACCTGCCATGTCTTGGCTAGGATCTGTGAGGCTGGGGCAGGTTCCTGCCCCCCTACTGGCACAAGCACAGAGGATGTAGCGTCAGCCCCTGTCTTGGAGAATCAGGCAGTTGTGCCTCACCGGTTGCGCAAGCTGACTGTCCAGGGTGAGTTCCCAGGCTGGCCGCCCACCACACGCAGCTTGGAGCGCCATGGGTCCAGGCGGGTCACTCTCTTGCCACACTTCTCAAACAGCACCTGGTCTGGGGGATAGAATGTGCTGGTTGAAACCCCGGACTGGATGGAGATGGGGGGTAAAGGGACCACGACGCATAACTGGCCCAAGTCTGTACCTGGGGGCTCCAGGATGGACGGCGGTTGGTCATCATCTGAAAGACCCAAGTTCAACCACGTTAAGGGAGCCAGCCTTTGGCGGTGGAGGCTGGGGGCGGGGCCCCGGGGCTGTGTCGCCGGTGCTCACCGCAGCCCCGCAGTGCACAGTAGTCGAACGTAGTCCCCGGATCTGTGGTGTAGCACCAGGGCCCGTGACTATCCCCGTCTGGGTTCCTGCAGAAGTTCTCCTCCAGTGGTGCGTGTGGGGCGGAGGTGGGGGTGAACCTAGGCGGGAGGGGGAGCAAAATCAAAGGGTAATCCCAAGCCCCCGCAAGCCTCCAGTTGGAGAGCCGAGGCATGCCGCCCTAGGGTTAGTCCCGGGCGGGGCCTGTGGCCTCGGTCTGGGAGGCACCAGGCGCGCTGGCGGACTTACTGCGGCTTGTGCGGCGTCCCCGCGGACCAGCGCTGACACCGGACGCCCTTTCGGGTCTTGCTGACTGAGCCGCGGTACAGTTCCCCCGCGCCATGGTAGCAGTCTGCGGCGGGCGGACGGACGGGGGCGACCGTCAGCCGGTTCTCGCCCCAGCCCTCCGGCCCCGTGCGTCCAGCCCCAGCTCAGGCCTTACCCTCGGGCCGCACGTCGTCGGTGCAGCGCCGGATCTGGTAGCAGAAGGCCACGCGCATGCCAGGCCGCGATGTGAAGCACCAGGGCGCCTCCGATCCGTCGGGGTTCCGACAGAAGTTCTCCCGAAGGTCCCTGAGCAAGCACGCAGCTCAGCCCGGGTGGGTCCCAGGTCATGGGCTGGCCAGCCCGCCTGGGCGGGAGCCCAGCCTCCAGCTCCTCCCCAAGCCCCGCCTTCTTTCAAGCCCCGCCCGGGGCCCCCCTCAGGTCCCACCCGCAGGAGTAGCAGGCTCCCAGCGGCGGCCAGCCAACTCACTTGCACGCATACTTTTCCGGCGTAAAGCGATGCTGATGCGGATGCTGCGCGTCCCAGCGCTGGCAGGGCACGCCCGCAGCGGTGGTGTTGACCGTGCCCCGGTAGCCCTCGCCTTTCCCGCGGAAGCAATTGAGCGTCGTGGCCTCCCGGCGCGGCTGTGCCTCGGACCCTTGGATGGATCGAGGCCGGTCGGAGCCCGAGTGGGAGGTGAGACTGGGGCTGGGGCGGAGCCCCACTGTTGTTGGGCCACCACCGGGTCACGCCCAGCCCCTCCTCTAGTCCCAGCCAGGCCACGCCCCCACGTGTCCCAGGTGCCCTCCCAGGCCCCGCCCTCGCGCTCTACCGCAGCGGGGGAGGTCGCAGAACTCTCGCTTCATCTGCGGGTCCGCGGTATAGCACCAGGGCCGCTCCGAGCCGTCCGGATTCCGGCAATAGTTGTCGTCCAGACTTTTGTCCAGGAACCTGGAGGCGGTAGCCGGGCGTGAACAAGGGCCCTGTCTGGCCCCAACCAACTATGCGCTGCCTTACATCGCCCCGCCCCTGGAGTGCTGGGCCCTCCCCTTGCCCGCCCTCCTCCTGCCGAGCCCGCCCACGCGTACTTGCGGGGCTCGAAGGGGTGTGGGTGCGGGTGCTGCAGGTCCCAGCGCTGACACTCGCGCCCTGACTCCGTGCGGTCCACTGAGCCGCGGTAGTCCTCGCCATTGCACCAAAGGCAAGCGGCTGGAGACACAGGGCCGATGGGTTCGTGGACGGGCGTGGGCATGCTCCTCCCGCCCCAGGCTTGACCCGGAGCTGCTTACCCTCCCGGCAAGACTTAATGCCGCAGCTCTGGAAGCGCACGGCAGGGTCTGTTGTGTAGCACCAGGGACCTCTGGGGTCCCTATCCGGGTTGCGGCAGAAGTTGTCCTCCAAGCCATTTCGAAGTGTGGGTGTGTACCTGTGAGAGTAGCAATACAGTGCGTACTGGGGGCAGGCGCCAGGCCGGCAGGGACAGAGGGGAGCTGCAGTCTGTCTCACTTGTGGTCATTGGGGAACCTGTGGCTCCAGCGCTGGCAGGGTAGGCCACCCATGGTGATGGCCACGGTGCCCCGGTACTCGACCCCATTGTCCATGATGCAAGTCCGAACATAGACTGGGAGCAAAAGACCCAGGATCAACAAGGCCTGAGACCCCAGCAGCCATCTCCCCAGCCCGCCCTTCTCTGCAGCCACTCACTTTTCTTTTGGAAGAGATCACAGTGCCTGGAACGCTGCAGTCGTGTATGAGGTGAGTGCTGGGTCCATGGCAGCAACTGGCAACCATGGCTGCTCACATTGTAGTGGAAGGCCCTGGGAGGAGGAGCCACAGGGTAACTCAGTGCCCAGGTTCCCCTACCTCCAGTGTTATCTAGGTCCTTTGGCCACTCACCTGCAGTCCAGTAGGGGCCCACAAAGCCCTGCACATTCCTCAGCATTTGCCACATCTTCTTGCCAAGGCCTGGGCCGCACTGTGTGTAGCAGGTGTTGCAGCTCCGTACCCCGGAGCACCTGGAAGTCATTCAAGGGCGAGCGCTGCCCTGCAGGGTGGGCATGCGTGTCAGCACATGTATATCAGCACGTGCACACTTTATTCATTCAGGGGAATCAAACTACAAGGCCTCTGGAGTGGACCCTGTCAGTCCATTCAAGGGTCAGACCCCTGTACTGGGTGGGAGAAGCAGGCCCAGACATGATAGTTATCACTAGTGCACCTGTTTAGTGGGCAAGGCACTAGGCTCAGCTGTAAAACATATACTCTGAGAGCAGTGGGTGATGGTGCTTGCCCCATGGAGCTTATCCCATCTCATTTCTCAGATGAGAATGAGAAGGCTCAGAGCTATCTTATTAACCATGCAGAGACCCAACCCAAGCATTCTGACTCCAAGTCTAGGCTCTCACTAGCATAAGGGCATATGCTAAGTTAGAGAATTAGATCTGGCTCATAAGGGGTAATTGCCTGCATGTGTGCCTGCGTCTGTGCGGTCCTAATACTGCCTCAATGCTACAGCAGACTTTTTAACGCAGGCCTGAATAGGCAACGTGTTTATGTGTTCCTGGGGCTGCCCAGCTCTGTGAAAGAAGCCAAGGTCACTTGCTGCTCCATGCCCAATAGGAAAGTAAGTTCCTGGCTCAAAGA